CACAAAAATCAAACTCATTACAGAAGGGGAGGATGGGGGACATAATGTGTGTGTGGGTGGGAGTAGCACTACCTTTATTCTGTATTAGATTAGCCGCAAATTCCTATGTGTATAACCCATTGTTGTCATATGTTAGTGAAGGAGGTCGTAGCTTGGTGCACCTAAGCCATTAATTGGTCCTGTATTTTAAAGGAGCACTATAGTGCCAGGAAAACAAACTCGTTTTCCTGGCACTATAGTGTTAATAGGTCCCCCCAGCCTCATGGCCCCCCTCCCACCGGGCTCTAGGGGGAGGAAGGGGTTAAACACTTACCTTTCTCCAGCACAGGGCTCCCTCTCCTTCCTCTTCCGCCGAATGTGCATGCATTGAAAGAGCTGAGCGCGCATTCAATCAGTCCATAGGAAAGCATTTCTCAATGCTTTCCTATGGACGCTGGCATCTTCTCACTGTGATTTTCACTGTGAGAATCGTGGAGGCGCCTCTTTCTCTGAAACTGCTATGTTTACATCTGCAGGGTTCACCCTAGATGGACCTGGAACCCAGACCACTTCATTGAGCTGAAGTGGTCTGGGTGCCTAAAGTGGTCCTTTAAACTCTAGCACATCCATGGGTGGAGTGTCGGCCTATAGACAGACTTTACTCAATGCCCTGTGGGCAGCTATCCAATTGGATAATTTTTGTTTGTGTGCTGAAACTCCATCACAAGGTTTGGACAGTAATGTCCAGGGATCATGTTTCACCAGTCTACTCAAACCTTTTACTTCAGCCCCTGCACCCCAACCCAAAACCACTCAACTTTTGGACAGAACCACCACATGTGCCCCAATTTTTTATATAAGCACTAGCCTATCCATGGGCACTTTGTTTCACTGGCATGGTATACCACCAAAAAAGATTGCTCCTGCATCATGGTACATGTCGAAGACCTAAAATATGCCTACAATATCTCCTCCCCCTCACCTCAGTTATTTCACAATGGAACTAAGTGTTAATGAAACCATTGTCACGTGACTACCTATGGTGTGTGTGAAAATTCTGGTACCCTAAAGGGGTCTTACTTCATTCATTGCCCTTTGTCTCCCCACCCCAAAACAGTCTCTCTATTAAGAGCCCCCTCTTGAGCCAGCATAGCACCTCCCAATTTTGGCACAAGTCTGCCACTCTTGGTATCTCCAGGAATCCCTCCATAACACTGAATAATGTTTGTCTGCTGATGCTGAAAGATTGTTATACTTTGCATTAAAAAAATCATAAAATATTTATACAGTGATTCACTATGCAGTCACAATAAAACTACAACAGCAATACGAAATGAATGGTTTTCTTATGTGACCAGGCTGTTTCGAGGAATATAGAGAGATGCTGGTTGATTTGGGTAAGCCACCAGCCGTGTGATATTTGCGTTTATGGAGACATGAGTACACATGCATCTAGTGGGTGCAAGATGACAAAACGTGTTATGAGGTGAAAAAAGAGGTAGCACTCTGTCATAAGATGATGCAACGCATCATAGGACAATGCTGGACATAGACTTCTGTTAATAAATGAAGTGGCATTATAGCAGGATGGTGGGCCTACATCTAATGGGTCTTTAGTGGAGAAAGTGAAAGAAAGGGACAGCAAATGAGGGACAAAAATGGGATCATTCAGGGAATGTGTGAGAGTTCTATGACCTCTCTGATTGCTTTTACAGGGAAATCAAGAGTATGGAAAGTCTAACATGGAAATATAAGAGGTAAGTTGTCCTGAGCTCACGTGTTTTCCTCAATGGACTCGCTAGTTGCAGGATCCCCCAGGATTTAGGACAATGCTGAGTTTACTGTGAAGCCTATAGAGACCTACTGAGTGAAACTAAATTCAGAACAACATTCTTGTGACGAGACCAATCTCGCCACATTGCATTGGAGAAGCCTGGTTGCTCGCCTGCTGCCTTTGGACTATGGCCCCCTTTTAAAAGACTGAATTTTTCCATGCAGAAAAGCCATATTCGTGCTTTTCTGCCGGTTGTTCGGTAGTTTCAATCTACCGAACAACCGTACGAATGACTGGACCACCTGGGAGCTGGAGTGTGCCGGCAATTAACCTCCCTGAAGCTGCGGTTAACCGCAGCTTAATTGATGAACGCTGGGTGGCCGCCGTTCGTATCCCGAACACGAGGTCGCGGCCATTTTAAACCATACGAATGAACAGCGGTGTTCGCCTCTATTTTCATGGAACTAAAATCGGACACAGTTTTGCGCGAACACCGCTGAAGCCGCCGACCTCCCTTCTTGTTCGGTGAAAGCACACGAATGACCCGGTGTTCGGTATTTTTGTGTGAATGTCTTATACCCCAGATAGGAATCCCATGGAGCCCATTCGTATGAAACTGACTGTAAAGACTTTGGCTCCATGGCGATTGAACTGTATTCGTGTAGTCTGAGTGCCATTCACCTAATAATGTGCACTCAGACCTGAGCTATCTGGGGATGTGTTACATGCCTGTGTTTAATGTAGTAAATGTTACTCTATGTATTTTAAAGTATAATGCTGTTTTTGTGTTCCCACGTGTGTAATGGAGTTTTGCCTTTGTCTTGGGAGATAATTGAGTTACTTCCCAATTATCTCCCAGGGCAGAGGGGAGGAAGCCAGGATGCATTGTGGGAATATACTGTGACTGTGTGTCCTTTTTGTATACTTGTCTGTCCCTTGTCACAGTCTCCCATTTGGTCCCCTAGGGGAGTGTCCACCAGGTGGGAGACCTGCATAAAAGCCAGGCAGGTAGCCCTCATTAAACAGACCACTGCTTGACCCTCAACACGGAGCCTTGTCTCGTCTTTGGGGGGATTTACTGTATGCTGCTAAGGACTGATTGCCAGGAGTGTAAGCCGCTTGGGAGCTTTTCCTGTTCGCCTGGTAGCAGCAATTCGTATGGTTCCTGTTCGTGTATTTGGAGTGCTACCTTATTCCCTTGTATGCCGTTCGGGAGTTTGGAGCATTCACTTGTATGCAGTTCGAGAGTTTGGAGCATTCACTTGTATGCAGTTCGAGTGTTTGGACCATTCCCTTGTATGCAGTTCGAGTGTTTGGACCATTCCCTTGTATGCCGTTCGGGAGTTTGGAGCATTCACTTGTATTCAGTTCGTGAGTTTTGGTGATTCTACAGTAGCTGTGCCTGTCTCTGAAAGGGGATTATCGTCTAAGCGTTTTTTTTTCCCTTTTGTGCAAAACGGTCCGTTACAATTGGTGGCAAGCGGCGGGATCGTTCCCACAGACTACAGGACAGCTACAGGCGACACCATTCCTTGGATTTACAATTTGAGGGCAACGCATGTCTGAGTACAGCGACCCTGACAGCAACAGCATGGAACCAGCAGTGTCATATGAGGAGGAGGACCTGGATGGCCGGGATGCATTAAGGAAAGGCATCTGGTACCAGGCCCTGGATAATGTACAGTACCAGCGGGGTGAGAGTCTCCCCAGTGAAGACCAGCGGTTGCAGAAGCAAGTGGCCCTGCGGATGCCCTTCCTGGGAGAGCAGCCCCTGGATGAATGGGTGAAGGAATTGGAGCACCGGGTATGGCAGGAGATTTGGCTTGAAGATGCCTATCAGGCGCTTTGGTGGTATGGGGCACAGTACCTGCCCTGGACAGCCGAGCATGACAAGCCAGAGGGAGGGGAGTTTGATGGTCCTGGCTTGTTATGGGAGGCTTTTTCAGAGCCTGAATTTGGGAGCCCTACACAAGCCCGGTTCAGTGATCTCTTGGAGTGGAGGGAGAGCAGGTATGACTGGGACGACACTCACGACATTGAGCAAGACCTGGCTCACCCAGCAACCCTGGAGTGGGAACTGGAGCAGGACTACCGAGATCTCTTCCACTCCATTGAGAAGATTCAGCAGGACAGCAAGGTGACAGAGCCAGAACCAGACCCATTCAGCTGGGAAGACATTGTGGATATTTTCTGGGAAGAACCCCAGGTGGCCGGTAGAGATGGGACCGAGGTCTCTCCACCGGTCCTGCAGGGAATTGGGAGCCCAGTCTCCATTCCCCAGCGGCCGTGTGATTAATTGGGAATTGGGAGCCCAGTCTCCATTCCCCAGCGGGAGATATTGCAGGGAATTGGGAGCCTGAGCTCCATTCCCCAGCGGCAGGCTGAGTTACAGGGGACAGAGATAGTCGCTCCTATCCCCCAGCAGCAGAATGAATTGCAGGGAATTGGGAGCCCGAGCTCCATTCCCCAGCGGGAGAAATTGCAGGGAATTGGGAGCCCGAGCTCCATTCCCCAGCGGGAGATATTGCAGGGAATTGGGAGCCTGAACTCCATTCCCCAGCGGCAGGCTGAGTTACAGGGGGCAGAGGTAGTTGTTCCTGCCCCCCAGCAGCAGAGTGATATGCCGGGAAGGCAGTGTAAAGTGCAGGGAGAGGAGAACAGCGTCCTCCCTCCCCAGCGGCAGGCTGAGTTACAGGGGGCAGAGGTAGTTGTTCCTGCCCCCCAGCAGCCAAGTGATATGCCGGGAAGGCAGTGGGAAGTCCAGGGAGAGGAGAGCAGTGTCCTCCCTCCCCAGCGGCAGCGTGATTTTTTGGGAATTGGGAGCCCAGTCTCCATTCCCCAGCGGCAGTATGATGCTTTGGGAATTGGGAGCCCAGTCTCCATTCCCCAGCGGCAGTATGATGCTTTGGGAATTGGGAGCCCAGTCTCCATTCCCCAGCGGCAGCACAGATCATTGGGAATTGGGAGCCCAGTCTCCATTCCCCAGCGGCAGAGTGTCCTACCGGGAATAGAGAGCCCAGTCTCCTTTCCCCAGCAGCAGGACTCTGTATTGGGAGCAGAGACAGTCGGTCTCCCTCCCCCACAGCTGGAAGTATGTATGGGAGAGGAGCTTGTTACCCCCTCTCCCCAGCGGCAGCTTAATGTACAAAGGGGAGACAGTAAGCCCCACAACCGTGCAGATGGGACCGTAGTCTCTACACTGCCAGCACAGGGGGTAGGGGCGGTCGGTCCTGCCCCCCAGCGACAGGGCTGTTTAGCCAAAGGGGAGACAGTCGGTCTCCCCCTCCAGCAGCAGAGATGGGTAACCAAAGGGGAGACGGTCGGTCTCCAGCAGCAGGTCTGTGCATCTAAAGGGGAGACAGTCAGTCTCCAGCAGCAGCAGCAGAGCGGTGTATTTAAAGGGGAGACAGTCGGTCTCCCCCTCCAACAACCAGGCTTCCACCAGGCTACCCTCCCAGTAGCGCTGGCAACAGGGCAGAGTGCCGCTGGGCTCTGCCCACGCAGCAACCCACCAAGTCAGCGTACCCGTACCCAGCACAGCCGTGGTGAGGCACCTGGACATGGACAAGCTTTCCCTTTACCCAGGTGTAGTAACCATTTATTGCGGGTGGGCTGTGCTGTTTATTATTTGTTGTGGGTGGGCTGCTGGACTAACAAGGGCACTGACCGGCAGGAGGTCAGATACCCTGTTAGTCTGTTTGGAAAAGGGGAGAGATGTGACGAGACCAATCTCGCCACATTGCATTGGAGAAGCCTGGTTGCTCACCTGCTGCCTTTGGACTATGGCCCCCTTTTAAAAGACTTTATTTTTCCATGCAGAAAAGCCATATTCATGCTTTTCTGCCGGTTGTTCGGTAGTTTCAGTCTACCGAACAACCGTACGAATGACTGGACCACCTGGGAGCTGGAGTGTGCCGGCAATTAACCTCCCTGAAGCTGTGGTTAACAGCAGCTTAATTGATGAACGCTGGGTGGCCGCCGTTCGTATCCCGAACAAGAGGTCGCGGCCATTTTAAACCATACGAATGAACAGCGGTGTTCGCCTCTATTTTCATGGAACTAAAATCGGACACAGTTTTGCGCGAACACCGCTGAAGCCGCCGACCTCCCTTCTTGTTCGGTAAAAGCACACGAATGACCCGGTGTTCGGTATTTTTGTGTGAATGTCTTATACCCCAGATAGGAATCCCATGGAGCCCATTCGTATGAAACTGACTGTAAAGACTTTAGCTCCATGGCGATTAAACTGTATTCGTGTGGTCTGAGCGCAATTCGCTTAATAATGTGCGCTCAGACCTGAGCTATCTGGGGATATGTTACATGTCTGTTTAATGTAGTAAATGTTACTCTATGTATTTTAAAGTATAATGCTGTTTTTGTGTTCCCACGTGTGTAATGGAGTTTTGCCTTTGTCTTGGGAGATAATTGAGTTACTTCCCAGAGGGGAGGAAGCCAGGATGCATTGTGGGAATATACTGTGACTGTGTGTCCTTTTTGTATACTTGTCTGTCCCTTGTCACAGTCTCCCATTTGGTCCCCTAGGGGAGTGTCCACCAGGTGGGAGACCTGCATAAAAGCCAGGCAGGTAGCCCTCATTAAACAGACCACTGCTTGACCCTCAACACGGAGCTCTGTCTCGTCTTTGGGGGATTTACTGTATGCTGCTAAGGACTGATTGCCAGGAGTGTAAGCCGCTTGGGAGCTTTTCCTGTTCGTCTGGTAGCAGCAATTAGTATGGTTCCTGTTCGTGTATTTGGAGTGCTACCTTATTCCCTTGTATGCCGTTCGGGAGTTTGGAGCATTCACTTGTATGCAGTTCGAGTGTTTGGACCATTCCCTTGTATGCAGTTCGAGTGTTTGGAGCATTCCCTTGTATGCCGTTTGGGAGTTTGGAGCATTCACTTGTATTCAGTTCGTGAGTTTTGGTGATTCTACAGTAGCTGTGCCTGTCTCTGAAAGGGGATTATCGTCTAAGCGGTTTTTTTCCCTTTTGTGCAAAACGGTCCGTTACAATTCTTCTACTGAATTCACTGACAAATGAATTCTGAGACTCAACTGAAAATCAGTGGGGACCTATCTCAGCAAGGTTTTCAGCAGCCCTCTATATCAAATGACTATTCTATTCATCTCAGTTTTTGTTTTGAGAAAACTGGACACAACATGCCCTGACCCAATCTTGGATAAACAGCCCCTGAATTCACGTGTCAGCAAAACAATCTGTAAGGAGACCCACCTGCCAAAAGGGAGTCGTTCGGAGATTGCTCTGGTGGAGTATCGTGGTTTAGCTATGAGTCACACTAACATTTCTTTATTGCTGTTTGCTATTGGGGAAATAAATCATTAAACATGTCTCCTAGCCATCTTGTCTGGATTAAGACATATTAAAACAAAATGACAGCTAACGATGGGGGTAAGTTTATATGTTCATTAGTGTTGTTATCAAAACAAGAAAGCAAGAATCATTTTCTACCAGGTCTTGACACAAGTGGCACATTCACTGTCATGAGAATAATTTATAATGACCTGATCTCTAATATTACATATTATGGAAATTGAACAATTTGGGATTTAACTTTCATCTTCAATTAATTACAAATATTACAGTTTGTATTTATTTCCCTTTAAAGTTCCATTTGAATTAAAGTTTCTAGGTTTTCTATTGAATTAAAACAGTTTCACTTTCTGCCTTTCGCACTGACTTAAAGTAGAATTATCCCGGACTGGATTCTGTACCTGGCATACTGGCTGGATTCTGAGCCTGGCAGACTGGCTGGATTCTGGGCCTGGCAGACTGGCTGGATTCTGCGTCGGGCAGACTGGCTGGATTCTGAGCCTGGCAGACTGGCTGGATTCTGCGTCTGGCAGACTGGCTCGATACTGCGCCGGGCAGACTGGCTGGATTCTGCTTCGGGCAGACTGGCTGGATTCTGTGCCTGGCAGACTGGCTGGATTCTGCGTCTGGCAGACTGGCTGGATTCTGCGTCTGGCAGACTGGCTGGATTCTGTGCCTGGCAGACTGGCTGGATTCTGGGCCTGGCAGACTGGCTGGATTCTGGGCCTGGCAGACTGGCTGGATTCTGCATCGGGCAGACTGGCTGGATTCTGCATCGGGCAGACTGGCTGGATTCTGCATCGGGCAGACTGGCTTTATTCTGCATCGGGCAGACTGGCTGGATTCTGCATCGGGCAGACTGGCTGGATTCTGAGCCGGGCAGACTGGCTGGATTCTGCATCGGGCAGACTGGCTGGATTCTGAGCCAGGCAGACTGGCTGGATTCTGTGTCGGGCAGACTGGCTGGATTCTGAGCCTGGCAGACTGGCTGGATACTGCGGGTGGCAGACTGGCTGGATTCTGTGCCTGGCAGACTGGCTTGATTCTGCATCGGGCAGACTGGCTGGATTCTGAGCCGGGCAGACTGGCTGGATTCTGCATCGGGCAGACTGGCTGGATTCTGGGCCTGGCAGACTGGCTGGATACTGCGCCGGGCAGACTGGCTGGATTCTGCATCGGGCAGACTGGCTGGATTCTGTTGCTGGCAGACTGGCTGGATTCTGCATCGGGCAGACTGGCTGGATTCTGAGCCGGGCAGACTGGCTGGATTTTGCGTCTGGCAGACTGGCAGATAAACTGCAGCTTCCATAAAGAAATTGAGAATGAAACAGACTGAATGAGCTGAAACCACGGAGCAACGCAGGGAGGAGTGGGCCTTGACAGAGCCAGGAGTAGGCAGGGTGAAGTTCAGGTCAAGAGGCTGTCCTGTGATTGTGCTGGGGGGCGTGGGTCAGAAGGGAAGTTTAAATAGCGGCCATTTTAGGGTAAGTTCATTCTAACTTGAGCCTTTCTTACCTGTAAATTGTTGCAGGTCGGTTGGGCTCCTCTTTTCTTCTTTTCCAGGTGCAGCATGGCGTCATTAGAAGAACTGCTGTCGGGTCTGCGGTCCGTGGTGCAGGAGAAGGGAATGGCATGGCTACAGGAGCAGCTGGGGGTTCCGAGCACGTCTGCTCCCCCCCATGGGGTGCCGGATCGGAGGCCGGAGAGGAGAGCTAGGCCGCCCCAGCGGCTTAGTCCTGGAGCGGGTCCTGCAGCCAGACGGAGGAGGAGCTCGGCGGGAAGCAGTGCGGCGGCCGGAAAGCAGGGACGTGGAGCGGGTCGTCGGCCGGGACCGCCAGCTAGGCGCAATGCCGGGGCGGTGAGGTTGCAGGCCAGGAGGAGGCCTCCCTTGAAGGGCGCCCCCTGCCGGATGGCGGCGGGCGGGCAGGCGGAACTGACAGCTGGTGCCGGAATGGAGCAGGACGGAGGGGAGTCGGTTACAAGACCCAGGAGCAGCCCTGGACGTCCCGGTGAGTCGCCCCCTGGGGGCAGCACTGTGGGGCAGGAGGGATGGAGAGGGGCTGGCAGTGGCAGGACAGCGGTCTCACAGGTTGGGGAGAGGGACCAGGTCAGCAGGGCACAGCAGGAGGCGGCTGGAGTTGGAGGCAGGAAGGATAGCGCTGCGGATCCAAGGGATCAGAGGAGCATGGCCAGGAGCTGGGGAAGAAGGGGAGACGGGCACAGCATCGGCAAGTCTGGGGACCCAGGAGACAGGAGGAGTGGCAGTATGGAGCGGAGTGGCAGCAGGCGGGTGACTGGCCAGGAGGACGGCGGCACCCAGGACAGCAGTGGGCGGGAGGCCTCTAGGGGTCGATCCCAGGAGCGGCTCGATAGGAGGAGCGCCAGCAGAGGGAATGGCGGAGGATGGCAGCGCGGAAGGGCAGAATGGCGGGACAGCAGGTCAGGGTCTGCAGGCAGTAGGAGACATGGGAACGGGAGCCCAGCAGGGAACCGGAGCAATAGGAGGAGGTCAGCTTCTCGGGACAGGTGGCTACGGCGCCGGCGCAGTGAGTCAAGGTCGTCTGAGAGGAACCACACGGCACGGAGGAAGAGAAGTAGCGAGCGGGAGGGACGATGCAGGCAGGGAAGTGGTGAGGACGGGTCTGATCACGGGAATGAAGGGCGGGTGAGGCTGCAGTCGGACAGATCACCCAGGCTGTATTCTCCTTGCAGGTCGTTGAGTAGGACGCCCACGAGAGCAACACACGAACAGGCGGGCAGGAGTCGGCGTCCCCTGGTTCCTTCTGGGTCGGCTGTCGTGGTGGAAAAAGTGGCGCCCCCGCGGCCAGCAGCGGCCGGGGGCTTGAGCGGTGAGTCTCCAACTGCATCACACACAGGAAGCTTACTTGGATGTTTAAGATCTCTGTTAGATTCATGGTCTGGGGACGGGGGGTCTCCGACACAGTTTGAGAAAGTGTGGGTTGCGGACGGCGGTCGGACAGCAGGGGTGAAGGCCGCAGCGTCAGCGGAGCCGAAAGGGGGTGAGGGCGCCGCGGGGACGGGTCAAGGAGCGACGGGTGACGTGGGTGAGCATGTCGTTCTCTGCGGGGAAGTAACGGATGCGGCACGGCAAAATGTGCATGTGTCTTTTGCGGGACCGCTAGGGTGCCACTTAAAGGTGGAGGTTAAGGAGAAAATTTGGAAAGGGGAGTTCGTGGAAATATTTTCCCTACTTCCCCTGGAGGAATTTTTAGACTTGAAAGAAGAGGATAAAAAGGATGCGAAAAAGGAAGAGGAGGAAAAGAGGCGGAGGTATCGGAAAATACCCAAGTCTTTTGGGAACTGGTTGAGGGCCTTTTGTATTTTGGCGAGCGTGATCGGGGAAAAACACCCGGATCGATGTTCGCAGCTTTTTTGTTATTTAGACGGGATAGGGGACGCATATCGGACCTATGGGGGTTTAGCATGGTGGAAATATGACGAACAATTTCGTCAGCGATTGGCGGCAAATCCGCCCATGCGGTGGGACCAGATGGACTTGCCTTTGTGGATGAGGCTGATGATGGCACAGAAAAGTGCCCCCTTTCTCGGAGCGGCCGGCACGGGCTCAGGTACCGTGTTGGCAGGTCAGAAGAAAGGTTTCTGCTGGCTCTACAATGAGGGCCAATGCAAGTGGGGTGCATCTTGCAGATTTAAGCACGAGTGCTCCGGTTGCGGGGGTAATCACGGAGTTTCCAGGTGCTTCCGAAAAGGTAAGCCGAACTTGGGAGGAGGGGTTGTCGGCACATCAACAGCTGCGGCTGCAGCTGGGAGCGTCGCCGGTGAAGGTAAGCGCGATGCTGCCTTGGTTAAAACTATACGATAATCAGGAGGTGGCAAAGTTTTTACGGCTGGGTTTTACAGAGGGTTTCAGGATTCCGTTTCAAGAAAGGGCTGCGGGTGGGTTATGTAAAAACCTTCGGTCAGTGGGGGAACATCCGAGCATAGCTCGGGAAAAGTTAGGTAAGGAAGTGCAATTAGGGAGGATGGCGGGACCATTCGCTTCCCCGCCGTTGGTTGGTTTGCGGGTGTCTCCACTTGGGGTAGTCCCCAAGAAGGAGGCGGGTAAATTTCGTATGATCCATCATTTATCGTACCCACAAGGTACATCGGTTAATGATGATATCGACGAGGCCCTGTGTTCTGTTTCCTACACATCATTTGACAAGGCTGTCGAGTTGGTTAGGAGAGCGGGACAAGGGGCTCTAATGGCGAAATTGGATGTGGAGGCAGCTTTCCGGCTGCTTCCCATACACCCGGATTGTCATCACTTATTGGGGTGCTATTTCGATGGGGGGTATTTTGTGGACTTATGCTTGCCTATGGGTTGTGCCATCTCGTGTGCTTACTTCGAGAGGTTTAGCACCTTTTTGGAGTGGGTCGTACGACGGGAATCGGCTGGGGTGCTGTGGTGCACTACCTTGACGATTTCTTATGCGTTGGCCCACCACGCACGGAGCGCTGTAGCCAGGTGTTGAGGACCTTCCAGTGGGTGGCACACACATTTGGGGTGCCGTTAGCAGAGGACAAAACGGTGGGGCCCACTACGTGCCTCAGCTTCCTGGGTTTGGAGATCGACTCGGTACGGAGGGAGTGCAGGTTGCCCGGGGACAAATTACATGCCCTTCAGCGGCTAGTGGACACGGTTGGTAGGGCGAGGAAGGTCACCTTGCGTGAACTTCAATCGTTGATAGGGAGCCTGAATTTTGCGTGCCGAGTGATCCCTATGGGGAGGGTCTTTTGCAGACGATTGGCGCGGGCGACAAGCGGGGTGAGAAAACCGTCGCATTATATTAGGGTGTCAGTGGACATGAGAGAGGACTTGGAGGTATGGGCTAGGTTTTTGAGGGAGTTTAACGGGAAAGTGTTTTTTCGGGAGCCGTTGGGAACCTCCACGGCCGTGGGTTTGTTTACGGATGCATCAGGCAGCATCGGTTTTGGGGCGTACCTAGCGGGTAAATGGTGCGCGGAGGGGTGGCCGGAGGCATGGAAAGCGAGCCCCTTGATTAGGAACTTGGCCTTTTTGGAGTTTTTCCCGGTTGTTGTGGCAGTGGCGTTATGGGGTCCGGAGTTAGCCAATAAGAGGGTGGTGTTCAATTCGGATAACATGGCAGTGGTGCAGGCTATCAACGGATTATCGGCTTCTTCATGGCCAGTGGTACGGTTGTTGAGGCAATTGGTTCTCTTGTGCATGTCTTTTAATATTGTGTTTCGCGCTCGGCATATACCGGGGCTTACCAATGTTGTCGCTGACGCGCTGTCTCGCCTACAGTGGGAGCGTTTTCGGGAGGCGGCGCCGGAGGCGGAAGAAGAGGGTCAAGCCTGTCCGGCGGAGATGTGGGAGCTCGGGACGTCTTGCTTGGGGAGTACATAAAGAAGTCTCTGGCGCCGGGAACTTGGTTCTCCTATGTTAAGGTCTGGCAAGTGTGGGAAGACACGATGCAGCAGGTAGGGGTGACGGGCCCTGGGAGCAATCGGCTGGACATACTGTTATGGATCCTATGCCGGTTGTTCGCAAAGCAAGCGTCGCCATCAATGGTTGATAGGTACATGTCAGCGTTGGCGTTTTTTGTTTAAGTTTAATGGATGGGAGGATGTGACGAAGCATTTTATAGTGAGGCAAGCGGTTAGGGGATACAGGAAAGGTAAGAAGACGAAGGATACGAGAAGACCAGTCTCCTTCACAGTGTTACAGGGGTTAGTGAACAAACTACCTGAGATATGTTTTTCTGTGTTTGAAGTGGCGTTATTTACAGTGGCTTTTTCGTGGGCCTTTTTTGGAGCATTTCGGATTGGTGAGTTGCTTAGTGCCAACAAGAAAGGGGTTGGTGGGCTTAGGATGGAAGATGTGACGGTTAGTAGGGACAGGGTGTTGATCCACCTGATTCAATCAAAGACGGATGTATTTGGTAAAGGTTCCATGGTCACGTTGTTTGGTTTACCAGGGTCGGGGTTGTGTCCGGTGGCAAGTGGGGCTGGGTTTTTGGAACTATGCCCGATAGGGAGCGGTTGTTTCTTCATACATGCCGACGGCACGGCACTGTCGCGCTTCCAATTTGTGCGGGTTTTCCGTTTGGGATTACAGAAGTTGGGTCTGGAGCCCATGCAGTTTGGAACACATTCATTCCGAATAGGCGCGGCGACAGAAGCGGCTCGCTTGGGTTTAGGGGATGAGCGGATTAGACGAATTGGGAGATGGGAATCTCTCAGGTTTCGCTCTTATGTACGGCCAGATAGGCTGGTGTGAAGGGGTGGTTGATTGTGGGTGTTTGGGATGTGCTGGTGATGTTT